GCCGCTCCTCTCTGCAGAGCCCCTCGGCCTCATTGCACCCATGGCCACAGTGGCTTCCTGTGGTCTGGAGCGAGCTCCCCACAGTGCGCAGGCGACTGCAGGTGCTTCTCAGCCGGCTCTTCCTTTTTTCACGAGGCTGGGCCTGGGACAGGTCCCTGCCACCCCTCAGCTGAGGGCTGTGCAGGCCCAAGCTGGCAGCTTGCAGGCCAGGGGCAGCTGGGCGCTGCGTGCAGGCTGCAGCCATAGGGTGCTGCAGCGTCAGCTCCCACCAGGGAGCAGGCAGAGGCTGCAGCCCCACTGGGCTCTGCAGGCTGCGGGAGGGCGGACGGAGGATGTGAAACTGGGAGAGCTGTGGTGTGGCCCACAGCAACCTTCCTGCTGCAGGCAGCAGTCAGGGCTTCCAGGGAAGGAGAGCTTCTGCACTCGCCGGCGCACCCAGAGCCTCGCAGCACAGTCCTGACCGGCCTGGCACAGCAGAGGGGGTGGCCCCCCAGCCCCCAGGCTTGGATGCCTCCCACCAGAGGTGCCCTGCAGCCCAGTGCAGGCAGGGAGGGGGCCTGTGCTGCTCGGGAGGTGCCAGGGAAAGCTGGAGGGATGCTGGGGGTGGGGAGAAGCAGCCCCTCAGTCTGGCTTGCAAAACACTTGCTAAGCTTGTGACAATGCTGCGAGTGCCTCTGGAGCCAGTGGGGCATGTGGACGCTGCCGGTGGGACCCGCAGCTCAGGCAGAAAATAGAACTATTCCTGGGCAGGCTCTGGGGCCAGGGCAGAGGGGGCTGGAGGCAGGCTGCTATCTGCTGCAGGTCGGGGCAGCTGCAGCACTGGTGCTAACGGAGCTGCTCTCACCCTCAAACATGCCATGAAAATTACTGTTTCCAGGGAGCCTGGCACTGGTGGTACCAGGGAGCGTCAGCAGCACTGAGTGCTCTGGGCAGCCGAATGGGGCACAGGCAAAGCGGAGCCCCCACTGGCAGGCAGGACTCTGTGGGGATGGGTAGGCAAGGACCTCCAGCAGGCAGGACCTTGTGGGGACCAGGGCCAGTTACAAGGTGACCAGCTGGTGGGTGACGGGGGACCGTGGCAGCTCTTGAACGGCTCAAGCGGGCAGGCAGCAAATAGGGCATTAACCGGGCTCCTCTTGCCCAGAGGGGCCGCGGTGACTCTGGATGGGGATTTCTGTCGCTCAGCACAGAGGCCTCCCGCGTTTGCTGGAGTGCTACTTGGGGTCTGTGCCCAGGGCACCGTTGCAGCCGCTGGCCATGCCGTGCTGTGTCATGCCGTGCCATGCCGTGCCATGCCGTGCCATTGTGCTGCTCCTTGGCGTGACCACCCAGGCATCGCTCAGCCATGGGAAGGCGAGTCAGCAAAACTCCCGTCTGACACACTTTTCCCCGCAACTTCCTCTAAAAGTGGAATCAGCTTGGCTGTGTCCTGCAGGTGACTGTGATGCCCCTCTGGGGACGGGGCCTCCCTGCCAGGCACAGGAGGGGGGGCTCAGCACAAACCACCCAGGAGATGGCCAGGTCGAGCTGAGCAGAGCCAGGCTGGGCTGCACCAGTGGTGGGGACGCGGGGCGGGGGTGGCCGGGGGGGGGGGGGGTGATGTGGCTGCCAGGACTGAGCGGTCCCACTGTGGCATCAAGTGAAGCGCTTTGAGGCGGGGAGCGCCTGGGGCTGCCACAGGGAGCGGGGTCCCCGCTGTATGGGCGCAGGCTGGCACCGAGGACTGGGGCATGGCTCCATGGGTGCCCATGCGGTGGCAGCTCTGTCCTGTGGCCTTTCACGGTCACGAGGGCCAGGCTCGGGGGTGGTGATGGGAGGGCCCCCCTTCAGAGGGGCTGCACAGAGCCCTGGGGACACCCACGGCTACCCCCCCAGTTCCTGCAGCCTCTCAGGGAAGCAGGGGCACAGGGAGGCTGTCTTCCCTCCCCGCAGGGGGACAGACAGGACCAGGCACAGCTGAAGGGGCTTTGCTGGGTGAAAGGCTGGGTGAAACCCCTTGCGGGGCCAGGGCTGAGTTCAGGCTCCACAGGGGCGGTGGACCACAGCCGGGGCGAGGAAGAGCCCTGGGCTCCTGCAAGGTTGGATCCTGCTGGCGCCAGGCCCTGGTGCAAGGCAGCTGGGAGAGGGGCGGTGGGGCTGGGGGCTGCCCAGCTACGGCGGAGCCGTATACCAGCGTTGGCCCCGGGCGCAGGGACTGGCAGGGAGGGGAGGAAGCACAGGAAATCTCGCAATGGCTGTATGGTCAGCACTGGGTTTCCTGTTCCTCCCCAGGAGCAGGAGCTGCACCAGGTCCAGACTGCGCCGGCCCCGGCCCCGGGAGGACACCAGCGCCAGCCCCACGGCAGGGACCTCGCAGCACACACAGGTTGGAGGGGCCTTGCCCCAGCGGGGCCCTGGCAGGGACAAGGGGACCCCTTTGTGGGGCTGGGGCTGGAGCTGCCAGACCGTGTGGGACCGGTGCCCCAGCCAGGGCAGGGGGCACGGCTGTGCTGCCCTCGGGGAGCAGCCCTGCGTGCACAGCAGAGGTGACACTGCTGTTTTGCACCCCATACTTCCTCCTCCCCAGCACTGTCCCTGCGGGCTCCAGCTGCCGCGGGGCTTGGGGTGCGCTCAGCCCTCCCACCTGCTTTGAATGCGCTTTGCAAGGCAGATTGTGTGGGGCAGGGAGGCCTCTGCCCCCCGCCTCTGCCCAGCCTGGGCACCATGTCCCGGTGACGGGGCGGTGGGGTGGGAGGGTGTGAGATGCAAAGGGCCCCGGCCACCGGCAAGGGCAGTGCAGGGCACGGGGCGGTAGCTGCGTCTCAGGCTCTCCCACCGCTCTGCAGCCTCCTCCCGCCTGGGACGGCAGTGCCATGGGCTTCGGGCCGGAGCTGTGGTGCCCGCAGGGGCACAGCGCGCTGCTGCGGCTGCAGGACGGCGAGCTGCGCCCCCTGGAGCTGATGAAGAAGTGGATGTCGCAGCGTGCCAAGAGCGACCGGGAGTACGCGGGGATGCTGCACCACATGTTCTCCCAGCTGGAGAAGCAGGAGGCCCCCG